TTTGTTTTTATTTAATTGTCATCTATTTGTTTTGTTTTGATTTAATTGTCATCTATTTGTTTTGTTTTGATTTAATTGTCATCTATTTGTTTTGTTTTGATTTAATTGTTATCTATTTGTTTTATTTTGATTGTTTATCATTTGTTTGTTTTGATTTGATTGTTAGTTTTATTTGTTAGATATTTCATATTATTCAATTTATTTGTTTTCAGCTTGTGTTTGACTCTTATCTAATCCACCTGTGTATCTGATAAAGAACATAATTAAAATCAAATCTTGAATATCATTAAAGCTATCGAGTTGCTTAGTTTCAGGCTCCCGAGATACATATCCTTCAGAAAGAAAGAAAAATATATACAAAGATTTTAGAGAAATGGAAAGCAAAACTTTTAAAAATCTAAAATAAATTTAAATATCAGACATGAGGAATACATGTTGTCGATCGATAGATAATTGGACAGATCAGATTTAAAGTTAAGATATAAAGACAGACAAATAGATACAGGTAGATCTATGTTAAGATAGATATATTGATATATTGAAGGAAAGACATATATTGGTAGATAATTTGATGGACAGATAGATTGGTAGCAGCAGAAGATAACAAAGACAGACAAAGTAAGAGAGAGAGAGAGAGAGAGAGAGAGAGAGAGAGAGAGAGAGAGAGAGAGAGAGAGAGAGAGAGAGAGAGAGAGAGAGAGAGAGAGAGAGAATGAAAAATAAGAGAGAGAAATCGAAAGGCATCATATGACATACGTTGGTCCATTGACGCTGTCATATGACTGACAACGTGGACGGGGGATGAGGAGGGGGGGAGCGGGGGGGAGCTTAAGTGGAACCAAATTAACAGCAAGATGACAGACAAGCGGGCAACGCCATGAGAGAAATGACGTTGCAAATGACTGGATTAACTAATAAATTATAAGAAAATTCAAGGAGACCCGAAGCCTAACGCAGACCCAAGACCACTCAGACCCCAACAACGCAGACCCCAGACCACTCAGACCCCGAAAACGCAGACCTCAGACCACTCAGACCCCAAACAACGCAGACCTCAGACCACTCAGACCCCAGCAACGCAGACCTCAGGCCACTCAGACCCCAAACAACTTAGGCCTCAATTCACAAGAGACTTACAGCTAAGAACCCAGACCACAAGGACCTCAGACCCTTAACCTTTGACCCTAGATCCCGGACCCCAAACTTTCAGGCCCCAGACCAAAAAAATCAGACCCCAAACGGACCCCAAATCCTAGATCCCAGTCCCTTGACCTAAGACCCCAAACCCCCCAAAATAGACCTTCGACCCCAAACTTCCAGACCTTAGACCCCCCAAAACCAGACCCCAAACGACCCTAGACCCCAGACCACAGACCCCAGTCCCTTGACCTAAGACCCCAAACCCCCAAACCCCCCAAACCCCCTAAAATAGACCCCAAACTTCCAGACACCCAGACCTTAGACCCCAAACCAACTCAAACCACAGATAGACCCCAGACAGACCCCAGACCCCAGACCACAGACCCCAGCACCACGTACCTCTCGGTTGACCTGTCGTGACCTCTGCAGGGCCGACGGGGAGGGGAGGGGGCATGACCTTCTTGTACCCCACAATGTCGACGAGGAAGAAAGAAAGAAGGAGAGAGAGAGAGAGAGAGATAGAAAATGAAAGAAGGAGAGAGAGAGAGAGAGAGATAGAAAATGAAAGAAGGAGAGAGAGAGAGAGAGAGAGAGAGAGAGAGAGAGATAGAAAGTGAAAGAAGGAGAGAGAGAGAGAGAGAGAGAGAGAGAGATAGAAAGTGAAAGAAGGAGAGAGAGAGAGAGAGAGAGAGATAGAAAGTGAAAGAAGGAGAGAGAGAGATAGAAAATGAAAGAAGGAGAGAGAGAGAGAGATAGAAAATGAAAGAAGGAGAGAGAGAGAGAGATAGAAAATGAAAGAAGGAGAGAGAGAGAGAGAGAGAGAGAGATAGAAAGTGAAAGAAGGAGAGAGAGAGAGAGAGATAGAAAATGAAAGAAGGAGAGAGAGAGAGAGATAGAAAGTGAAAGAAGGAGAGAGAGAGAGAGAGATAGAAAATGAAAGAAGGAGAGAGAGAGAGAGAGATAGAAAGTGAAAGAAGGAGAGAGAGAGAGAGAGAGAGAGAGAGAGTGAAAGAAGGAGAGAGAGAGATAGAAAATGAAAGAAGGAGAGAGAGAGAGAGAGAGAGAGAGAGAGAAAATGAAAGAAGGAGAGAGAGAGAGAGAGAGAGATAGAAAGTGAAAGAAGGAGAGAGAGAGAGAGAGAGAGAGATAGAAAGTGAAAGAAGGAGAGAGAGAGATAGAAAATGAAAGAAGGAGAGAGAGAGATAGAAAATGAAAGAAGGAGAGAGAGAGATAGAAAATGAAAGAAGGAGAGAGAGAGAGAGAGAGAGAGAGAGAGAGAGATAGAAAGTGAAAGAAGAGAGAGAGATAGGAAATGAAAGAAGAGAGAGAGATAGAAAATGAAAGAAGGAGAGAAAGAGAG